TAGCGCTAGTCACATGGAGCCCATCACTGAAGCGATGCTGAGAAGAACCCTCAGGATAGGCCCATCGCGTTCACAGTACCTCAGTACTGGACTCAGTCGACTCAGTTCTGGACCGAGACAAATAGACTATCTCAGTTCTGTACTGAGTTGTTTCAGTTGAGGACTGTTATAAAAACTCTTATTATTGTAAGAGCTATAGTTCACAACGCTACCATACTCAATTAAATGGTCATTGAAACAACAGAATAAAGCAAAAAACAAAGACATATTTATTTGCTAAACGAATAGACGTAATAAAAATAGCAAGACCATTATCCATTTGCAAGACATCTCAGAACAAACTACATGCCATGCTTAATACTGTAAACGTATGCTTTAAACGAGCACATCTATAATAATTTTTATTTGCTATGCAACACACCGCACCGTAAACAACAATGTTTTCGATTAGCGTATTCCCCTTTAGTAGTAAGGATATAAACTAAAAAAATTGTGATAAAATCTGTACACCAGGTTAGGAATAAAAGCAATTCAATAAGTAGTTTAAACAACTGGATTTATTACAAATATATGCTAACATTATAAGTTATAGCATAAAAAATAAATAATCTATATACAGTAAGCCCAAGTAATTTGTGGTATATTATATTAATATTGTATGCATTTAATTTAGGTTACTGAATAAGTTATCAATGGCCTGTAATAATGATTCTTCTATTGGTGCAGAGATATAAATACAATTGTGAGTCAAAAACATCGCCTGACGTATTGTGGAATAATGCTTTGAGTTTACTGAATATGTTAGCGAGTCTTTAATTTGTACGGTGCAGGAATGCAAATGAATATGCTTGAGTTACTAAAAAACGTATTGATTACTGATGAGAAAAATTTGAAACATGAGTATTAAAATGGCATGGCTCGACATATGTATGGAAGCCAGTTCTCGAGAAAACAATACAACGGAGCTATTGTGAAAGAATGCTTTGAGTTACAGAATACGATAAGCGATTGTCTTACTATTTGTAAGCTAAACCAATACAATTGTGAGCAAACATCGCCTGATCCGTTGTAAACAAATGCTTGTGTTACTGAATACGTAGCGAATAGTCATTTTATTGGTGTGGGAATGATTTGAATACGTTAGCGATTGTCTTTATATTTGTAGGCTAGACAAATATAATTGCGAGCAAACATCGCCTGGTCTGACATATCATTATGCAAAAAATGCTTCGAGTTACTGAATACGTTAGCGAATAGTCATTTTATTTGAGTGGAAATGCTTTGAGTTACAGAATACGATAGATAGCAACCGTCTTTCTATCTGTCAAATATAATTGTGAGCAAACATCGCCTGCCTGATCTGACATCTGAACACATTAGCGAATGGTCATTCTATGGTGTGGGGGTTTACAGAATACGTTAGCGATTGTTTTTATTTTGTAGCCAGAGACAAATACAATTTTAAGCAAAATTTGCCTGATCTGACAGGTTATTGTGAAGAATGTGATTACTGAATACATTAGCGAATAGTTATTCTATTGGTTGGAATGCTTTGAGGTACAGAATACGTTAGCGATTGTCTCTGTTCGTAAGCTAAGGTTAATACAATTGTAATAAACATCGCCTGATCCGACACGACATATATCATTGTAAAAAAAAAATGCTTTGAGTTATAGTCATTCTATTGGTGTAGGAATGCTTTGAGTTACAGAATACGTTAGCGGTTGTCTTTATATTTGTAGGCTAGACAATATAATTGTGAGCAAACATCGCCTGATCTGATATGTCATTTTGAAAGAATGCTTTGAGTTACTGAATACGTTAGCGAATAGTTTTATTGGAAAATACAATTGTAAGTAAACACCGATCGGCATATTATGCTTGAACGAGATTGAGAAGTAGTTAGGAGGCTTCGCCCCTTTTGTCTTTATGGTTATATATTAATGTTAGTAATAAATTGAGAGATAATTTTTGCCAAGTGATGACGTGTATTATTTATGTGTATATTGGAGAAATTGCTATCAGTTATTATTATATGAACGTATGTTATCCTTTGCTTTGTAAGAGGGTATAATGCAAGCTGCTTTGTATGTAAATTGCACATTTGGTACAGTAAATTTATAAATATGGCAACTTGTGAATCATATATCACTGAGAGCGAGTCAGCTCATTAATTCGAGGAAAGACTATTACCATGGTTACAAAATATTATAGTCGTCCGTCTACTTCAAATGGCCTTGAGACAGTAAATAGATTAAAGTGCGTATGAATATTTTCTTGATAGTCTTAATCGCAGTGGGAAGTAGAGGTATTGAGGTAATGGTTATACGAAGGAGATATGAGTTGAGACGTGATATACTGCAGTTGATTTTCACTGGTTTCCAATTCCCGTGTTATAACGCTTGTCATCTCCTTTTAAAGTGATCACTTTTACTCTTTTGCCATGCATACTGTATATTATGACTTTCTCGGATAAACGATGAGTGCTCTTGACTCGCTATTTTCTTTTTTATGTATTAGTATACAAAATAATGATAATGCAGTAACACACCGAAGTAAACCAATTATATAAATCAGTTGCCTTTTACGTAAGATACGATGCAACGAATCATAGTTGTATTACCACCAAATTTTATTAACCACTCTACAACAATCCAAAGCTGCTACGAAAGGTAATATATGTAAAGTAGACTGGTTCTCACAAATCAATGCCTTCAATACTTCTCCACTGACAAACCAATCATCCCATAACATCCCAACCTCAACATCCTTATCCCAAAAAAGGACCAATAAGCTACTATTTTCTGTCAACTACTGCCAAATTCTACTCCTTTCATGCAACATAGTATCTTACAAGAACATCGAGGATACTAAACAAGGGGATTGGTTCGAAATTCACACACTCAACTGTAATAAACAAATAGCGTATACGTACATGTCAATAAACGTAGCATGTACTCGATTCACGATATTCACACTACGTTCTGAGCGGACGTCAACTATGGCTCTCGTAAGAATATTTTCAATAGTGCAATTATGAGATAAAATATAAAATATCCTATCGATGTGTTACTTCCTATACAAAAAGCACAAGTATCAAAGAAGGTACTGGTAAAGCGTTGACTAAGAAATTATAACCAAAAAGGAGTAAGATCTAGGCGCGACGCTGCAATGACTGTCCTCTTGACGGTGATTTTTTTTTTTTTTCATTGGGTAAGAGGAGGCATCAGAAACAACAGTCGCCGGAGGTGATGGTGATGGCGATGCGGATTCGATGTGAGAGGGTGAAGGGGTAGCAGGGCGAGTGATAGATTTCTCGGTATTTTCCTATTAATCATTAATTGCTGTCTTTCTCAGCAAGATTTAAATAATTATTCACTAATTATTCGAGCAGGGAAAATATTATCAATCTCCGGAAAATAAAAGAGGACGTTGTTATTTGTTGTTACTTTCTTGGTCGTAGTTTTCTGACTGCTAATTTTCTAACTCTGGCTCGTCTTTCGGTTTGTGTATTTGATGTGGTGTCATTACATGAGTCGTCGTTTGATTCGTCTAGTGCGTTGATCGCGGAGCTGATGTTGTTTGGTTGAGGGGTGGTTTCCATTTGTTGTTTTTTAGTGTACGCAGATTTTTCAGCAGCGATTGCGCAAACTGTGTTGAACCTTATTGAGGTTGTTGCTGTCGTTGTTAGTGTTAGTGTTGATTTTGAGGTGACGAAATTGGAGTATTGAATGTCGCAGTATAAGGTGAAGGTGTTGTTGTATAATTCGACTAAGCCATCGACTTTTTATCCTGCTACCTGGGTGGTAGGTCTTTCTTTGTATGGCTTAGGAGATATTTGTTTTTGGGAAGAGTGGAACGCCGTCATTGTGAACGTTTCGAATGTGCCTTGTGAGCCGTTTTTCACGTATTGGATTACACCTGTGATAAGCGGGGTTCCAACGGCGGTGAGATATGTGAAGTCGGTTATATAGTTATAGGGAGTTTTTTAGTATGGAGGCATAAGACGTTTATTGTTTATGTTGTAGAGTCTATTTTTGTGATCGTGCCATGAAAGTATATTATGTCCTGGGGAGAAAGATCAGTAAAGTTTGATAGGGCGGTAGGGTCTGTAGGGAGGAATTGTTGGATCTTGAATGTGAGATTTGTATCTGTGGAGAGTTCAGAGGTGCCTAGAAATTCAGTTCGGGGGTCTGATATCAGTAGTTTTACAAACATAGGGCTAAAATTTACAACTTATACTAACATATATTCTTACTGACTATCGTGTAAAATTGATTCCGATTGAAATAACGGATGAAGGTGAGCATCAAGTACAGATATAACATTTTTATCTATTGTTTAAATAGACCTTGATTATGCTCGCGCTTTTTCGTGGATCTTGCAGCTTCTGCGATTATTAGCAAATCCGATATGATATGTCACATTTTCGGAATATATGCTATTATTATTATTTTTCTATGCACGGGTTACATAGTGAAACTCGATAAGTCGGACAAAATTTCTCTGCACTTTTCTTTTTTCATACTAAAATCATTTCGACAAGTCGGATTCCTTGATAAGTCAGACAGCCCTGCTCGCCCCACCGTGTCCGACTTATCGAGTTTCACTATGTATATGTTATATAGAGATAATCGAAGGATACGTCATTCATAATACATATCTTGACCACGGTTTGGTTTCATTGTGCAATACGATTGACAGTTTTTTTTGTATTGGTAATAGAAAAAAATCACACAACGTAAATGGGCTGGGTTCATGCTAAAAAATGATTGCCAAGTGTGACGGTGGCAAAGCCATGGCTGTCAAGTTACTACTTTGGCTGGTGCGGTCATCAAATGAACTAGCACCAAGTTAGATTGGTCTTTCCAAATAAAATACTGTCGTGTGCTACTGTTGTAGTTGTAGCAATACATCGATTCTAAAACAATTTAAACGAAATATAATTTCCTATTTACACTACTACTACTATTGTTTGGTCTGAGTAACAAGAGCAACGATTTTATTCATAATAAACAATGTTTAATAAAACGATACATACAATACTGCTTTATTTGTGCTATCAATATTTGCTGTCAATCTTACCACTTGATCAACAATCCAATAATGAGTAACATTGTAAGATAGATGACCACATGTCACGGAATGTTAACATAATAATAAATATAAAATATAGTAGAAACATAATAATTTGCTGTTAAACTATGGTTTAAACAATTTTTTAAATTTTTTTCCTAAACTTTTTTTTTTATAATAACTTTCAGGATGCTGCTGCGCTTTTTCTACTCCAATTTCATTGGCATAGCATTGATCAAGACGAGTTTGTGCCAGAGCATTCCCTTGTCCTGCTGCTTATACCATTCAACTGCCTTTTGTTTATCTATTTCTACTCCTTTTCCATGCTGATAGTGGTAACCAAGAATACATTGTGCCTCAGCATTTCCTTGTTCAGCTGCTTTTTTATACCATTCAACTGCCTCCTTAACATCTTTTTTTATTCCAATTCCATTAGCATAACACTTACCAAGATGGTGTTGTGCTTGAGCATTTCCTTGTTCAGCTGCTTTTTGATACCATTCCACTGCCTTTTGTATACCTTGAGCACTTTGTTTATATTGTACATGGAACCATCCAAGTACTGAGTTTTGTCCATATTTGTATACTCCATAACTATGACCAAGATGAAACTGTGCTTGGAAATCTCCTCGTTCAGCAGCTTTTTGATACCATTCAATTGCCTTCTGTTCATCTTTTTCTAGTCCTATTCCATACTGATAACATTGACCAAGATTACATTGCCCTTGAATATTTCCTTGCTCAGCTGCTTTTTGATACCATTCAACTGCTTTTTGTTCATCTTTTTCTACTCCTGTTCCATCTTGATAACACTTGCCAAGATTATATTGTGCTTGAGCATGTCCTTGCTCAGCTGCTTTTTTATACAATTTTACTGCTTTTTTTAATACTAATTCTTACTCCAGTTCCATCTTGATAACACTGACCAAGATAATACTGTCCCTGAGCATTTCCTTGTTCAGCTGCATTTTTATACAATTCAACAGCTTTTTGGATATTTTTTATTACTCCTTTTCCATTACTATAACACCAACCAAGATTGTATTGTGCTTGAGCATTTCCTTGTTCTGCTGCTTGTTGATACAGTTCTACTGCTTTGCATTTATTTTGTACTACCCCAATTCCATAATGATAGCACTGAGCTAGATTATATGGTCCTTGAGTGTTTCCTGCTTTTTGATGCAATTCAGCAGCTTTTCTATGCAATGCAGTAGTTGCTATCAAATATCTACTACCACTATCATCATACCTAGATCTCCTTAACCAAATATAGTACCGACTAAGATTATACTGTGCTTGAGCATTTCCTTGCTCAGCAGATTTTTGGTACCATTCAGCAGCTTTTTGTTCATCTTTTTCTACTCCAATTCCAAATTTATAGCAATTGCCAAGATGACATTGTGCTTGAGCATATTCCTGCTCAGCAGCTTTTTGATACCATTTGATTGCCTTTTGTATATCTTTTTGTACTCCAATTCCATTTTCATAGCAAATGCC